ATGATGCAGAACCCATTCGACTGTTATAAACAGCTTGAAAAGCCTACTGGTAACTTTTAGGACACACCCCTGCAAGTCTGGATAGGAACTATCACAAGTTCAGCCGACTGAAATTGCTGGTAATTCCGAGTAATGGAAAAATAGGTAGACAAAGCGTCCAAGTACTTGGAATAGTATGGGCTGACAAACTGATGGCGCGGGACGAAAATATTCTATAAGCGTTCGACTTCCTAGTTTATATGACTAAATAATGATGAGCAAACCTTGAAAAACTGGCACTAAACGAGAACGATAAATCCAAAAGGGGACTCCTGGGATCATATACAATCCCTAAAAAAATTTAGAAATGCACAAAACATGTTTTGTAGATATATGTATACATAATGAACAATTTTATGAGTTACAGGCGACTTCAATTGGAGTTTATCACAAGTGTATATAATATAATTTCGAGTAGGAGTTGCCCAGAAGTTTCATCATTTTGTCAATGAAATGCAATAATAATAATAATAATAAGTGAGTGTTTCTTCATTTTGATTACAGCAAAATATCAAAGTGTTTAAAGCATTTACATAATCCACAGGTGAGTAATAAAAACTGTTTTTCTCCAGCTTCATCAAGAAGTAAACTAAATCTCCGTCCGCAATGGTTCTCCAAACCATTCAAAAACGTGAAACTTATATATATGAAACGTTTTGAAGAAATAGACGAATAGATGAGTAAATGAAAATTGGTCATCATATAAGTCATTCTCGTTATCACCTTCTTGCACCAAACACACAATTCCATGGTTGAAGAGGTTTTTCTAAACAAGTCATTAATTCACATTCATTTGGTGTCGCAGGGCACAATCACAAAACAACGGTGTTTTCAAGGCGGCATACGCACATTGGCTGAAACGAGCCTGTAGCGATCTTTTGACGGATGTCTATGTATGGAGGAAGAGAGAACGCATTTAATCGGAAAAAGAACGGAGCCCTTGCAACAAGTCACGCATATTATGCAACCGGAATTTTTCAGGACAACTCGAAGCGAACATGCAAAATAATGTTCTATTTTCCACCTGCAGCTAGCAGTAGAGACAATATCGAGACCAGTCAACGACATATTTACTGATCGATTTATCCCCCTTGGCAATCAAATTAATTCCTCAGGAGCAGCAAATGGAACAATAGGACACTAACTCGCCTATGTTTCGACAGAAACTGACGGAGATTAGCTAACAACATGAATAACTCATCATCCAGCTCTGCGGTTACGAATCAGCTACATATCATGAAACGTTTGTTTCACTTGAGTTTGAACTTGGTCAATACACAACTGCCCACGGATTGGTAGTCTCTTTGGAAATATGCATGATACATTTCATGTGCGATTACGTACGTGATTGTTTGCGAGCGATGAGATGCACCCGCCCACTGAAGACAAGTGGGCCAAGAATGGCACATTTAAATATAGTATGAAAACAGGCTTCGAAGTTCCCTTGATAACTAATTTGACAATATTTTCGTATGTTCCTTTACCGTTTAGGTTTCATAAAACCGAAGAAGGGTGAAAACCCCGAGGAAATTAAAAGCATTGTTACAGCGAGCTTCCAAATCCATGTAGGGCTTTAACAAGTAAAATTCAAAGTCCTCTAGGGAAGACAGTTCAGAAAGCCCAACATTGCTTAATGGGCTGGCTGATTGCAAAAACGATTTTTAGTAAGCGAAATCGAATGGTGGAAAGAATAAATAATTTGTGTAATGGTATGCGATATCAGTGCGTTTCTCACTGCCAGTTAGTTTTGTGGATAAGCTAGCATGCATAGTCTGGAATTATATCCCCAATTCAGATCCACATGTTCCCAGCAGGCCGAATAAAGTTACACAATGCTATTACATTTACAGCGGGAAGATAATTGTAGAGTTCGATTGAATTCATTTCTTCTGTAGATCCAATAATTCCCTTAAAGCCTTTCAGTAAGATTACTTTTATCATGTAGGCCGACAAATATATTCACACGAGTTGAAAAATGAATGGAATCAACTTGATAGGTGTTGGCTGGTTTTAGTAGTTTTTTTTTTCAAAACACTGTATGTCAAACATAACATGAGGTTATAGTCATTATATTTCATCCAATAAAAGTCTTGATAATTGTTTGAGATATTTCCCAAAGGGAGATTTCAACATTTGTTTCAGTCAAAATGCACCGGATAAAGGACATTACAGTTTCGGAAATCTCGTTATAACCCCATGGATTGTCATCGCACTTGGAACGAAACACTGTTGATGTGTGTTGTATGTAAGAGGTCAAATCAATCTGGGTCCGTTCACTAAAAGGAACGTGGAGGATGTGAGCCAATCACGTTGCATACATCTACAATGGAGTTTTTTGTTATGTTACCAATTTTACCGATTATGTGTCATCACTGTCTTGTTCCCATTGCACTGATGATCCAGGGTTAGCGTCTGTTTAAAGTAGTACACATCTCACGAGATCGATTTAAGTTCACTTGAGCCTTATCGGAAAATTGATAGAACTACGAAAGAGAGCGGGGACGAGTTGGAGCGACTAAAAGGCTAAAATCATATTCAGTTTCGCCTCTTTGAGTGCCCAGAGCAGATCGGTTACAACATAACACAACTAAATGGCAAAATGTCGTGATTTATTTCTGATACATAAAACCAACGTGATCAAAGGTAGGATTGTGAACAAGCGACTATCCTCGATTTATTACCCGAATAAACAGACATCTTGCGCAACATTTCCGCGCAACCCTAAAGATTCTGTTCAAAGTTTAGCGGATGACACATTTGAAAAGGGAACCCGATAGGCAAAGCCAGCTGTTTTTCGATAAATTCATCAACTGTTTGTTGATACCTTCCGCCTGATTGGATTGAGCAGTTGAGCCAGCCGTTTCGCTGTGGCGTGGTGCGGTGAATTTGTCATTTCCGATATCGGCCTCAACGGAAAAACTCTTTACAGAAACTCTGGAGAAACCAGAAGTATTTACAGTGAGTAGAAAACCCCAGTATCTGCTATCACCGTACAAGGGCGAGAAGACCGTGGACTGGGTTTACACGAACGGTACGCGAAACAATAAGAAGAACATCCATTACGGCGACATAGGGTATCAGTTTTTCTACATCACCTGTAATTTGTTTCCATCCCAAAGACAAATTGTCCGCTCAGATCACTTCCGTGTGCATACACTTCTTCACTCACTCTTGTGGAGCGAGGTACATAGGCCGTACAACAAGACAATTGTCAAATAGAATAAACAAGCGTCACTCTCATAGGTTGGCACACACATAAACGAGGACAGTGAAAGCTGAGATATGCCAACACCTGCTCGAAAGTAATCACAAAGTGGCCGCAAGTCGGGCGTTCCAAACCGTTTTATCGTATCGTCGAAATCAGTGTGCTTCATCCTACTGTGTACGGCTGAAATAATCGCAATTAGACTGCTTGATCCCTCTTCCACACTATGCAATCAGAAGCGTTTCCTCCATGCATTATCTCCACCATAGCCAATCGTTAAGCAACAGCCTGATTCGCGCATGGTAATAAGATGAACGTCGTAACTGTTCAGGGCTTGCCATTAACACATCTGCCAGAATGAGACCAAAGGGACATACCATGGATACACCGTTGAATTAGTGGAAAACTGAAGTAATGTTCTCTGTGCAAAGCGAAATTTGCCAGAACACCTCCAAGCTCGTTCATCAGACGAATATACAACAGCCGAACCAATTTTCGTCTACAAGTATGTCAGTCAAGCAACCGCCCTCGCAGTATGTAAAATCCCATCAGTCGTACCAGTTCGTCTGTGGGTGCTCGGCCATCTGCCTATGCAAAACCGATCGGCACCTTGGAAAAAGTAACTCAACACATTCCTGTGTGGGCTAAAAACCTGGTGAACGAATCAGACCTGAAGGACCAAGGTCAAAGGTCAGCCTACGCCGCACATCAGCGTCATCTATCACTCGTCATGTGTTAGAGACTGGGAATCAAGTGAACGTGGCCACGGCATTCAAACGTGTTCTCATTAGGATATACCCTCGGTCGCTCTATTTTTACGAGGCGGCAACGGAAACCTGAAGTGCACAAGCAGAAAGAGTTGGTTGTAACTCTAGCCCTACCTTGGTGGAAAGGTAGACATCAACAGCTTATCCATGATAAATGTTACTTGTTAGTTTTAATTAGATTTTTTGACTGTAGTATGCATCAGAAGAGATAGAGCTAAATTTTTCCGGAAATTAATTGTACCACACTGTTTTTCTGTGTTCTTTATTCAAGTTCATATCGGGAAAAGTTGGTTCCAATTTACTGTGTGACCTTAAATTAATATAGAAGATTGAGAATGAATAATCAAAAAGAGTTCTTCACTTCAATGATGAATATTCTGAATATTTTAACACTTAAGATTATCTGAGAATCTATCTTTCACGAATGAATTATCTACCCAATTTTTTATGGTCGCGCATCTCACTCCAGTTTGCTACATGATTCTCAGTGGAAAAGGGAACTGACTGCATGTGGGCTATGCCTGGTTGTCAATGGAGAGGCGAGTATCGCTTACTTGGGACGACCCCATCAAGTTTCCTTCCCCTCCTGACCCAGCTTCTATTTTCATCGGCTCTTGCTTGCAACGGGAGTTGGCAGGAGCTCCCGTGGATCTCAAACAGAAATCAAATAGAATTTTTATGCTGCATTGGATGATCTACCCTAATTAGGCCGTGTGACCCAGCAAACAACGCAATATGGGGATGATCATTTCGTTGATTGTGTACTTTCAGAAAGGTGGACTGTTCACATAAAAGATAACTGATACCAAAACCAGGCAACACAATGATATCGAATCAGTTTAAAGTATTGCTGTTTGTATGGTAGATGCAATTTGAAAGTGGAACGATGTGTCATTTATAAAGAGTAATATTCATGTTAAATGATGCTATTCATGAGAAAATAGATGCCGAGATTGTAGCATATTCCTGTCCAGATCGATCCCTCGCAGTCAAGCTGTGCGTGCATATCGCTTCCACGGACCAATGAGTTGAGCGAATTTTGATGGAACTTTGGCATCCACGTACAGCATGGAGATACAGGTGTTTGAGTCGTTGTGGAAGTAGCTTGATCGACAATATGCGTTCAGATAGCATCTGTAAATAAGGAAAGGATGAGTTAGCATCCGATTAGCACCTAACCGGAAAATGAAAATTTCAATCCCACTTCATGTTGCTGATTTTTCTTATTGCAATAATGCCCAAAACCTTTTAATACATTGAAAACTAGAGGTAGCGTTTAAAATAACCTCATTCTGGACACTAAAATGAAACCTTAGATCGGGTTATATGGTGATCCAGTCAACCAAAATAACACCTCCCAAAGGCTTCCACGTTACAATTTCAGAACAGTTTATTAGAAGAAAAAAGCCTAGATGAATCCAAAGTCCTGCTGTTCAAAGAGGAAACCAAGAGCTACGATTGGTCAAGATGTCCCGAACCAATAACACTTCCTTGTACATATTATTCAGTCTCGTTGATTTACTTTATTGAAATTCAACGCTACTTTTTTGGCCTTCTTCCTGCCTCCCGTTGGAGTCACACTTCGGAAGACGACCACTAGTATGATTACTACCAGAAATAACTGAGATCAGTTACCCGGGGGGTGAATGGGAAGTATAATTGCGTTCCATCGGTGTGGTCCTGTGTTCGGCTCTCATTAAGATCAATGGAGTCACAATGCTGACGAAACCCAGCAAAGTAGAAAAAGCACCACTTCCTGGCGTTTTATTTCTATTCTGTGTACTAATAATTTCGTCACATGTTGTGTGGCATGCTAGAAAGTTCCAAAAAAGATACAAGGCATTCGTAAGATGATATCGATTAAGTGGTATTGTTTACAGCTGCAGAAATCCTAAATTCGATTGATCACATCTCACATTCAATACTTCTTTAAGTGCTCTAGTCGCACCAACTTGGGTACAAATGATATTAATTTTACAGTTTTCCTTTATTTACCAGGCATACAAGTAAACAAACAATTTCAGAAATAGATTTGATCAATAAAGGACAAACCGGAGTTATACGGAAAATAGGAACAATAGTAAGTGGATGGTGACTGCCGGACCGCTGGGATAAACATCTTAACCAATAGACAAATTTCATTGAGGTACCTTTGTTGAAAGCTCTCAGAATCGGTTTGGAGATTGCGATATAAATAAGTAAGTCAATGTTCTAAGGAGTGCAACTTATTTTCCAATTTCTTCAAGAATCAACAGTAACACATAGGAAAACGGGAGTCTTAAACAGAACAATTCAATAATCTTCCCAACAACTTCGTTCAAAAGTTATTTTTTTATCAGAAATCAACTGTAACCAATTCTCGTGTTTGATTTGCTTCAAAGAAACCAACCTTGGAAACTGTCTTGCACTCATTTTATCAGAAGCCTTAAAAATCACTTTATTTCTCCCTGGCTACAAGATTTTTCTATTTAGTTTTTGCGTGTTCAAAGAGTTTTAAAGGCAAATTTTTACGTTATTGATCAATGAAATCCATATAATCTTCCGGTTCACGGCGATTAGAGGCCCGTATTGTATTTTGAAACAACAACAATAAAATTAAAAGTGAGAATTTATTATGTGTTGATTAAAAGACTTCACACGATGTTAAAACGCAGAGAAACACGAGAAAAATCTCCTTGACCGGAAAGTTGATTTGTTACTCAATAAATTTGTAATTCTCCCTAATAAAACTTTACCACTGAAAAATGCATACCAGAAAATTTCTCTGCATGTTGTACGTAGAATAAAGATAGTATTCCACAACTAATGGGAATTTTTCTACTTAATTGCTTCGTTGTGGAGGGGATTGTTTCATGTTTATTCACCGAGGTAGATTGATTTTTACAACATTTTGAAGTTCATTTCTAAGGGAATTTTCCCTAACGTGACTGCCAACAGCGTGTTATCAAGTTGTACTTCGATGAGAAATATGGCCACGGTTTTTATCCTCTGTTAGACTTCACTTGCAAGTTGCACTCAATTACTGAGCTTAAGGAGAACCACTAATGCATCTTAGTTTATATATTCTACAGCACATAGATCGGAGAGAATGCACAATGCTATTGGTATGTCTGACAAACCAAGGTTCAAAAGCTTTCAAAAAGTAGGGCTTGTTTTTTAACCAAAGTGGATTGCATTCTGTGCTCTTACACAGACATGTGAAATCCGGATTCGGATTTATTAGGTTGTTGCATAAGTTCTCGCCGCTATATGAAACTATTTGTTCTACGAAGATTTTTTGATGTTTGGTGAGGTGTTATATGCCATCAAAAAGCTCATGCTGTGCTATGCGAAAATAAAGTAATCGATTTTTCTTATATTATTTTCTGTCTTGTTTTTGTACCGTCAAATGGATTGTCAAGTCGACAAAAAATCGCACCTTGGACACCTCCTTCTTTTCGCCTTTAATCGAGGTCAAAAAGCGAGTGAAGCTACCAGCGATATTTTTGCTGTATATGGAGAGGACGCTATAGCTGACAGAACTGCTCGGGATTGGCTTTCCTGGGTACCGCACGAACTCACCGAAAATCAGAAGGATAAGTGGCTTTCCATTGCTGCTCAAAATCTCGCTCGACAACAAGGAACCCATGGCCAAAGGCAACGGTTCTTATACAGAATCATCACTGGAGACGATAAATGGTGTGAATATGTGAATATGAGACAAAGGAAAGAGTGGGTGAGCGGGAACGTATTCAACAACCCAATAATTCGTTTTTAAATGTTATATTTACATTGTTTGTGTCTACGGTTTTGCTATTTCACTGTACAAACAAACTGTCACCAGAATTGCCATGTGAGAATCAGGTTCAGAGGAATTTAGACACCACACCGTTGACACACTCAAAAACAAGGGCAAAGAATGCCTTTTACGGCGTGTTTGCTCCACGCAGCTGCGTTCAGATTCCAACAAGTTTATTCTGTTCTAAACAAGGCGATAAAAGCAAACGAGGAATCATGAAGAAAAATACTTCTGACAAAAGAGCAAGAAGAAGCATCATGATCACATGACTTGTTGATTCAACTATTTTGTGATAATTTCATCAACTGTTTCATTACGTTTTGATGGCGTTTAATTGAAGGAATGACGGGTTTGTGTACACGCGGGCCGAAGATAACAAAACCCCAATTCGGACTGGGCAGTGGCAGCGTAAAACCAAACACAAAAACGATCTGTCTACACAGTTCAGGTTGATAACGCGGAACATCAGTTTGTGGAGCAAGTCGTGTTAATCGACTTTTTCTTCCGGCAATACTCAATGAGGTTCACTTTTGGTGAACATACGTTTCCAAATTGACTCCTCCTAAACTGGTTGGTTCGTTTGTTCGCAAACCTGTTACTTATTCGACCAAACGTGATCAGAATGTATGCACACAACTGATGAGATAATCATGAAATAGTAAATTTCAACACACGTTGTGGCCATGACACCCCTTCTTGCTCCTATAAAAATATTAAATAAAACTATTTGCATTAAATCCCCCCCGCTATAAATGAAGGATATTTCAGAAACAAGATCACAATACGGAATCCAACCGAATTCACAATTCGACCGCTTGCTAAGGGAGAATCATGTCTATGTCAAAAAATGTAACATTATGGAGAGCCAAAATTTATGTTAAATACGAAATGAAATGCAAATTTGTGAAAAGCAAAGGAATATTACCAATAAAAATTTAAAAATAATACCAGTCAGCACTTAGGGAGATGTAAACCTTTCTCCCTTTTTTCATTCCACGAGCATCGAAATTAACCCAAAGGTGAAGTTTTAAATTTGGGAAATTGTTTGACAAATGTTGACCGGATAGATGACTTTCGTGCAAGGTGCCCACTACTGTTCGAAACGTAGTCGAGGTGAGGATCACCAAAACAACAGAAAGTGCGTGTGTGTGTGTGTGTCTGTGGTTCACACGCTTCTTCTTAGTTGGCTGAGAATCAGGGTTTTTGGCCAACTCCCCTAGGTGAACTACCAGTGGTACATATAGAATCAAAAAATCAGTATCTATCAGTATCTATCTCTATTAATATTTCGATTCCCGGTAAATACTGAATCGAATACAACCATTATTTCCTTACTTTAGGTTTTTGGATACGAGTTAATACGGCCGAAATTTTTTATGCCAACAATGGACATACATTCTGAGTAGCCGACGGGTACTGTAAAATTTTCGGATGACTTATTTTGGTGAAATATTAACGGATTCTCTGATGAAATGGAACTCGTAATTAAAAATTAGACTTGGGTTTAACCAGATATATTATATTTTTTGGTATATTGAATTCATACCTAAATTGTACAAAGTTCAACTGCCTCAGTGGGGTTCGAACTGGCCTTTGCTTCAGTTCAGGATACGCTCTACCATCTACGCTACGGTATCACACCGGTAGCACTGATCTTTTCACATCAGGATCACCAACCCAAATAACAGAGACATGTCGAATCCACTAGGTAGCATGCAAGCTGATATATTAATTTGATGTAGATATTGAAGAAAATGAGGCTTTTTAGTAGTTTCATTTGAGTAACGGAGGATTTGGTTAAATTTCGAAGGGCAAATTCGTCGTATATATCAAATGAAGCCTGAACTGAAAAGCCAGGAAGCACTGGACAGCATGAAAAACGGTCTGATCAGCTGCCCGGTGGCCGAGTGGGTAGCATGTTTGCGTTCTGTTCACGTGGTCCCGGGTTTGATCCCCATTTGGGTCGATGAATTCGCATTGCACGGATGAGACCCAACCAAGTCGAAACAGCTATCCAGCAGTGCTTCCNTATTTTCAGTTCACGCTTTTTGGTAGTTATTCGGTTCGTCAGGAATAACAATACGAACGTTGAGAGGATGTGGACACAGAAGAGTGGTCAAATGAGGCGTGTGTAATAGTGCTTCCTCGTTCACATTTCCAACCGACCATTTATATGAATCATTACCTTTCAAGACATCAAAAATGCCTTGCAGATCATTTACGACCCATACAAATGCATCGAGCCCACCAAACTTTTCTATGGGTTTCTTCTATAATTCAAAGCAGGACCTTGTTCCACCGAAGCTGTTTGAAATGAGAAACCTTTTGGTTGGGTCTTTTACAACATTATTCTCGTACCACTGTCGAATGCTTTTAAGTGAAAGGAGTCAGCGTTGCTGATGATTCTGATGATCTTTTTCAAGGTTTTTCAGCAACTGCTGTCGGCGAATTTAGAATTTTAGCCAATCCAAGTGTGATTCGACATTTTTTTCTATTCTGATTCAAGTGGCAATCAGTTCAATGACAGAATTGGTGATGACAGTACTCTTCAAGAGTATTGAGTTAATGAACAAATTCTTTCTTTTTCATGTGGTAGTACCATTAAGTTTAGTACATTGTAAGCTATGCACTCAACGCTTTCCACATACAAATCACTTAAACGAAGAATTCTGACCAGCGGATATCAGCAACCACTGATGTTTATCTCAGTTTTCTCAAATTTCTCATTGCTGTTCATTATAACGCATATTTGGCAGCATTTGACGCCAGGTTGCACAGTCGGAAAGGTAAAATACGTTGGAAACAATACGCGAATGGCTTAAGTGTTAAAACTCACTTTTTAGCGCATTCAATAGCAGTGGTACTTGTGAACGATTCGTAACACGAATCCTCTGTTGTACTCTGACTAATAAGCTCTCGAATCACTGACGGATAATCCGAACGGAACTGTGATAGCACCATGATGGGGTGACTTGTTGAAACAGACCAAGCCATCTGGCACACGATTTGATGCGGATTGCCTCTCCACAACATGGGGATATCGTGAATTTTTCTCGATTTCTTTTCTAAACCCACCGCGTGTTCATTTCCCCCTGGTTGACCTTCCAACCAGTTGAAAGAGTTGTCACTTGATGCGAACAATGGATCACGTGGATCTGCGTCCTTCCATCCGGTTTTCGATGTGCCAGAATTAATCAGTAGATCATTCAAACTGGTCCAAACGTCTTTTTCACCGGCTATGCACTCATCCGGGAGCCTTGTGAAATGTCGTCCTATAAGAAACATGTAAAGTCCCATCCGTTCCCCATATTGACGACATTCCTCATGAGCGACACAAACATTGTGCGTAGAGCTCAGTTGAACCACAGTGAGATTGGCATCAACTTCAGTTATTTTGTCGGAACAACTACTGTGGCTGGAGTGAGACAGCGTCAGAAGAAGACAGAAGAAGTAAGTCAGGAAAATTTGAGTGCGTGAAAAATGCATGCTGAATAGAAGTGATCAGGCAATACGGAACTGTCTGTAAATATGTACCTGTAGTTCTGCATTTTCAAGGTCGTTGATTGATTAGCAAGAGAGGATTTAATTTAAAGCATTTCATTGGATGTTACATTTTTGTCTGAGATGACAATCAGTCCATAATCGCGTACCAACGTTGGCGTTGCTGTTACGTTAGGCTTCCTGGCTAGGGACCTCGGAATGATCGTAACCGAGAGTGAAATACACTGATTGATATAACTGAGTGTCGTAAATGGTGGGGGTCGTGCATCTTCCAATTTCTTTGCAATCTTAGACCAATGCAATTCTCCATTCTCTGTTCGACTCTACTTTCAACTTTCCTGTCTTTCTCTTATTCTTCATCCAAATGGGTAGCCAAAAGACAGCAACCCAAACCGCCGCACGAGGGTGCATGATTAATGGTTGTACAAACTGTAACTGAAACTGTCATTGTTACTGCTGTAACGATGGTGAATGATTTTTACGCTTCGTTACTGTCGTTATTGGTGTGGAATGGATATCGTTTTTCGTCATAAAGGTGAAATTAGAGAAAAGGTAGATAAAACTTCTCTACATGTGTTACTTTGAGCAGAGGAATTTCGACGATGAGGCCAGAATCACCAGTAACTTCTCTATTAGTTATCTTTCTGGTTGGAACACCTTTAGTAGCACCTATTATTTTCTCATCGACTGGTATCAGTCTATTCCCATATTATGTATATGCTGTGGGATACTTTAATGTTCCCTTGAAATAGATTTTTTTAAATCATCTCACCTTAAGCAGTTTGATTATTCAGAGAGATCATAGACCACCAAATAATTTTGTTCTGAAATTGTCACATTCTCCTGTGTTCATTGTACGACTGAACATCTAACGCTAAAGCGTCAGTGACTAAAGTGACGAAGGAAACTTCACCCAGTGTCCATCAAAAGCTTCCCTGCGAGAATCTAACGAAATCTCAAAGCGTAGTAGTTCAAACAAGAAAAGAGCCCTAAAAGTAAATAGTAAACCTAGGTTTGGGGCCGGGATCAGGATATTGAAATTCGACCAGACAACCATTGGAAATAGGTATGTCTGATGACTGGGTGGTAAACTTCACGAGGTTGATATCGTGAAACCAGACGGTTTCCCTTGTATTGAATCTCAAATTTGGTACTTGTTGGCGGTTGTACTTGTTGGTGATTAATTTAAAGAAACGAATGTCCTCGTGTAGACTTTTCCGTCGAATTTATCAATTTCAAATAAACTCACTTAAGATTTGTTTGAAACGCAGTCATCCAAAATTTTCAACGTTTTTAGAGTCTCTCACTTATCAAAATGGTAGTTATTCCGCAGGGAATCAGTCAAATGGGTATGCATTGAAATCGAGAGTGCAAAATAGTTCCAAGTGTCACTGAACAGATTTTGAAATCTCTCGTCCATAGGATCACTGCTTCATATCGGACAATCCAATACAACTTGTCAATTCAAATTGCAACAAAATCCACGGGTAGGATTGCATTTAGAAGGTGATTAGACTTTCCTAAATTAGCACCTTAACAACAAGTAAATATGCTAGAGCTTATTTTACTCGTCAAACTACGCTTTCACAGAAACACTACGATGAGGCAGATTATAAAAAGAACTCTGACTGCACGGAGGTAGTGCTGGTGGACATGTCCGTTCTATCAGTCTCGCACGTTTTATGAACCACAGATTTCAGGTTCTTCAACCCAAAATCATAACCATAATTTTGCAGCCAAATGAGATTAATTAATCCAAATCTCATGGATTAAGTTGCCCGTTTCAGCCCAACTACTGTTTATCGGTCCAATTTTTCACCTAAACGTACTTCTAGTGAATCGTACCTCAGTGTTTCATTGGGTCTCTGAATAATAATCGAACCTTTAAAAAAACAATTGTTTTTCTTGTTTAAGCAATTTTCGAAAGTTACAGGCTCAATAATAATAACTTCATGTGCCTTATTTGCACTTGAAGAATGCTCGCATCAGAACTCACAGCAGCTGCTGTATATTGTCGCATCTAGTCCGACAATGTGTTCAGTCACTCATTTATTAATAGTGACCTGGTTGCAGATGCGATAAAGGGAAAAGAGGTGAGGGGAGTGTGTTGGCAAAGATTGACGGACATACTGACCGGATCGATCATATATGTGTTTCTGTGTGGACTTGTGATTAAGTGCTTTAGTCCGAATTGTGGAATCCATAAGCCTCAAGCGAAGAAGATTCCTGATAACAGAGATAGAGTGGTAGCAATTCTATCCTCAATAAAAAGAGTATCTACTCGTTTGGATATATGAGAGGATAAGGATGTAAAATTGTCTTAAATATAACCAGGTAATTTTTGGTGATGGTTGCTACCTACGTGCTGCGGAAGTGGTCCTGCCTCTAATATACCGCGGTTCTTGATTACCCGGAAGGCATCAAGAACAATGACCAGCTTTGTCGGTTTTAATGTATTTTCATTTAATTTGTTGTCATGCTGAAGCCCCATATAAACTGCGTTTTCCACATTGTGCACACTCTTGAGATGCAGTGAAATCAGCCTCGAAATAAATCGTTAAGTATTGCGATTTGTTTGTTACTCTGGAAATTAACCTCGGGAAAGGCTTGCTTCAGTCTCCTCAGATCTCGCCTCCCGAAGACGCACAGTTGGTCAACGGACAGTATATTCACCCATCCAACTTAAAGAGGCATATGGCATCCACCAGTTAGTATGTAAGCTGACTGCCACAATAGGTTTTCCTTAGAATTCACCGGAGTCCACTGAATGAGCTTAGCTGGTAGAGCGTGTGCGTACAAAGCGGAGGCTGTATCCATGCGTGGGTTCCAATCCCACTGAGGCTGCTGAACTTTTCACAATCGCCATACAAACTCCAAATCTGCCAAACAACAATTTGGACAGTTCCATCACGAGTACCAAACATCTAGTGTGACAACATTCGAGAGTACCTGAAAGAGAAAATCTTAACAAGCGAAGGTGTAGTAACCAACTGGCATAAGGTTTGAGTTGAAAAACCTTTCCGGAGGAGGAATCGACATAAACAAAGGTTGAAACCCTATAAAAAAAGAGCAACATGAGGGTATTGACGATTCTAGCGTAATCCATGATAGAAAAGAAGACGAGTGTACGAACGAATGCTTTCAGCAACCATGCGAAAGCATAAATGCGGGACAGGTAAATGTGGCGATTGTATAGAAACTATGAACTCGTTTGTTTTATTGAACACGATATCCTGTACATTCTAGCGTTCCGCTTATTGCAATTCGATTCCGTTGTTGATTGCAGTGTTCTTATTTCATTATTAGTTCTTGTGTTGAGCAGGACTATTACTGCGCTCATTTCGATGCTTACAAGAATAACTAGTCCAACTGTAAACCATAACAGCTAACCAAGGATGATGATAAATCTCGAGCATGTTACACTGTCGGTTTGAAACCACTACCCAGGTAACACAGTGTAGTGCATCAATCAACTACAAAGAGCAGGTAGTATCTTACTTTTCTCTTTATTATTATGACTCTATTGTACAGTTTATTTTAATACGCACAATAAGTAACAATACAATACAAAACTATGTTCGTGATTGCACATGTGTTCTCCGAGTGGTGCTGAAGAACTACGCGAACATGAGTTATCATAAAGCGGTGCGTTAACTTCCGCAGCAATTCCCTTCAGCTACACCGCGCATCACCAACCGGAATCACACTTTCCAAGAAACAGAACTGACCGGAAAATTGTCCTATGAGTCCGTTCTATGTACCTTTCATTCCATTAGTATTGGTAAATGGTATCGTTTCCACTACAGTGCTATGTATGGGCTACATAAGCTACATTTGTTATCAAACAGTAATTCACCTTTGAAACCTGTTTATCTTAATCTTTTTCGGTTTAAAGACTCAACTTGATTTTCAATTTTATCAAACGAATCTTATTTTTGAGTCCGTATTCCGTGGATCTTGTTTATTTCTGGCTGAACATGACAATTTATTAACTCTCTTAATTTGCTGGATTGTCGTTAGCTGTTGGTATTGGTGCGATCCTATCGGAAACCCGAGACAATAAGGCACTATCACATATGAGAGTTTCGTACGAAACAGATCAAGACAATTCAAGGAACGTTGTTATTTGCTTATTCCTGAATCTTTATAAAAGTGGCCACTTTTAATTATTTTAAAAAATTTGACGCTTTTAATTCAAAGTGTAATTTTATAAAATGTGAGAATGCATTTCTACCTGATTTGTTTTAATTTGGTACCTTGAAATATGTCGGACGGCTCGAACATGTACCGTATGCTTCACCAAATTCAAGGAGAGGCGTGTATTGAGTATATTCAGTATATGCGGTCGCTTAATGAAAATGCTTATATTGTATGTAAACCTGCAGAGCCAAGAGAAAATACGGAAGCGTAAGCAAGGCCGCGGAAACTGAAAGCAACTACACGCTGATCAACGAAGTGGCCTTGGTGCAGTAACACAATGAGAGGGGATTTTTACATGCAGAGGGAAAAGTAGTTGGTGTCACTACATTGGTATGTGGAAAGTGTATTTTTGTGATATATTTATCTATCTGTTTTTGATTCACGTTGTCAATATAATGATATATCTGAATATTGTAGTGACACTATCAAACCTCTCTGCATATGTACTTTTCTCACTTTCGGTCCATGTTGTTTTACGGATCAAGAAAACCTAAGTGGACAAGACAAGTCGATTTTCACTTTCTACGCACTAACTCATCCGTACGATTCTCTCCCTCTCTGTTCATTAGATCATACCAATACAACCGTCGTTGAGGTTTCGTGATCTTAGCCGTTCCATTTTTGGTTTCTTCCTTCGCCCGTTGCTCAGCGTATCAATTCGTGGACATCATTTGTCTAGACACTAAAAAATACAGAGTCATCCCACAGAAAAGATATAACTTGTTTAAGATTTTTTACGATCGCAAAATGACATCCATATCTCGTTGGATGTTTTATTCTACAAGAAAATGACAACTACCACAGGTTACATGTCCGGTCGTGAACATGAAAACGAGTACAAGATCACATGTTAATTAAATTACGAAAAGTTTACCTTATTACTAATTTATTTAGTTAAGAAAGTTCTGTCCATTTCTGGAGGACTGAGCCCCGTCAGTGTGAATCCATCCCTGTTAAAAGATATATAAAGTTAACTTAAAACGTACATTCAATCCCCGGATGTTAATGGAATTCACTTGATGGTGAGTTGAGCTTGTTTCGTTCAACAATTTGTATCACGGATAACGAAAGAAAGTACCTTGGAACAAAGTACACAAATGAGTTACATTGGAAAACATGATTAAATGCAAGTCTCCGTTGTTGTTCACTAAAGGTGTTCTCGTTGTGTTACTATGATAAAATACGCATTAATGGATAAGGTAACATTCGGACTAACCCGAGATTTAACGACGTTCCAATGGATTCCATTGAGTGAGAAATGCAAATATGGTTCAAAAATAAGGTGGACAGAATGTTTTTACTTTCATTATTTGATTAGTCTTTTATTTTCCTTTGATTATCTGCATCATCAGTTGCACTGATGATGTCGCCTAGCCTGGCCACGAAACGGCACTACACATTACCCTTTTCAAGAAGGGTACCGTAGGAAGACTTCGAGTAATAGGAGTTATCAGTTGGGGATTCTGGGGTAGCAGCTAAGCCAAAACGAAAAACAGAACTGTGTAAATATCGTGTCTCAAGCTTAAGCCTAACTGTGTAGTGACAAAAGTTTAGTGAATGATAGAATAATGGTGTCGATCAGAACCTTTTAATAATGTTTACTTAGCTTTCTCGTAGTCCGTTTCGCGTGGAATAAAACCGAAGTTTTGAATAGCAGAAAACGAATATTTCATGTCTTCTAAAATAATAAAATTAATTGTCACTAGCTTGGGTTAGTATTTTAGCAGCCGCAGTAGAAATTTAAAAGTAGATCTGATCGGACTAGAGAAGATATGTAATACATAGCCCACCATGGGGCATTGTCCGGTGTGGTTTATTCAAGCTCATTGAAAGCACGATAATGAAGAACTTAAAATCAATGATGGAATTTTTCTAAGTTGATATTTGTAATAAGAAATTTTTCCCTGAAAGACCATTATCTTCACTTGATGGCCACACGTGCTAAACCCCGATGGTACACTTGATTATAGCGTGTTTGGAGGAAAGGTTTCTTATTTTAGAAGGATTCGAATAATATCTGCCTAGTTCTTGTAATAACTAGGTGTGAGCAAAGGGTCAAGTAGCTACTGGATACC